AACTTCCCTCCAGATCTGTTTCCCAAGCAAAGGTGAGCATAGAAAGAGCCAGTCAGGATTTAAACCTGACACATCATCAGGGATTGAACCTAATGAACAGATTTGGAGCAGCTCTCAATTGCTCTGACTGAGTGGGAGACACGGGGGGATGTCACTGCACCCTCAGGTACATCCTTGTGTGTTGATTGAGTGCATCCCCTCACTCCCCATCCCCTCCATGCCGAGGGGTCACTGCCAGCACCCCTTTGCTTGGCTCAGGCTCCGGCTCTGGACTCTTCAGCACCATCAGTCACCACCAGTCCTGTGCCACTGTGAGCTGCTCAGTTTCTAGGTCAGCTCTGCCAGTGGGGCGATAGCAGCCCCGAACACTGGCAGAGATTTCAGCTCTTACTCAGCCTGTTTGGCTCCAAAGCGACTTAAAATGCATTACTGTCACACATGGCAGCTCAGTCCTGTCTCTCTGTCACTTGTCCCATTGTCTGGGGACATTCTCCTTAGCAAAGCCCGGCAGCTGACTGGCTTTGCATATTTTTCCCCGAAGATTTTTTTTTTCTTGGTGCTGGGAATTGATTCTAAACATAGAATTGTGGAATCACAGAATGGTTTGTGTTGGAAGGAACCTTAAAGCTCATGTTGTTCCAACCCCCTGCCATGGGCAGGGACACCTTCCACTAGCCCAGGTTGCTCCAAGCCCTGTCCAGCCTGACCTGGGACGCTTTCAGGGATGGGGCAGCCACAGCTTCTCTGGGCAACCTGTGCCAGGGCCTCCCCACCCTCACAGCCAAGAATTTCTTCCATATATCTAACCTAAATTTCCCCTCTTTCAGTTTGAATCACTTTAGAGGGATGTGCCACTGCCAGGGTTGGTCGTGGGTAGTGCCACGTTCAGCCCTCTGTCCAGCCTGTGGGAAGAGGATGTGGGAGTGGGAGCATCTGCTGGCACAGGAGCATTGCCAGGCTCTGGACCTGCTGGGGGACCTCTGAGAAGAGCCTCATCTGTGTGGTGCCACCACGGAGAGGAGCCTGGTCGGGGCTGTGCGTTGCTGCCAGCACCCAGGATTTCCCTGGAAGTGTTCCAGGCCAGGTTGGATGGGGCTTGGAGCAATGTGGTCTAGTGGAAGATGTCCCTGCCCATGGCAGGGGTTGGATGAGATGAGCTTTAAGGTCCCTTCAAACCCAAACCATTCTAGGATTCTGTGATTTGTTAGCATGGAGGCAGCTGTCAGTGGAGGGGATGATGCTGTACCAACCCCACCATCACTGTCCTGCTCCAAAATCCCTTCAGAGCAGATGGGGCTGGACTGACCCTGGTGGGAACTACCTGCATCTCACCCTGTCCTGCTGCTGCTTCCCAGGAAAGCCACCCCAACATTTCTGAAATGAACCACATCGGTGCTCTCATCCCCACAGAGCCAGCAAGTGCCTGGGGCAGGAGTTTAGTGCAAAGCAGCATTTTGGCCAGGAACAGGGACATGGGTGGAGGTTCCCAGGGCTCCAGTGTCATTGCAACTACAGGATGCAACCAACAACTTTGTGGTTTTGAAATAAGAGCAGCTCCCTTAGGAGCTCTGTGGCAGACTCCAGATGCCCTGAGCAATGTCCTGGTGACATTTGGCTTCCTTGTGCTGCTCCAAATGGGTCAGAGGACACCCAGCAGCAATCCTGCCCTGTGCCAGGACCTGGCAGCACATCCTCAGCCTGAAGGGCCTAACTGTGCATCCTCAGCCTGGCAGCAATCCCAGCCAGCCTCTGCAGGTGCCCGTCCCCTGCCCCATCCAGGTGAGACTGGTGAATGGTGGTGGCATCTGGGGACCAGTTTTCCTGCCACTTTGGCACGTGAAGGGCATTCTGGAGGGGGTTTGACTTGGTGCCAGTGTGCCTGCACGTGGGTTTGTGGATGCACACGTGATTTGTGTTTATGGTGTGCAGGGGGATCAGGGCAAGGATCTGTCTCCATTACTGGAAGTGATTATAGATGAATAGGGGCAATGAGAAAAGCCTTGGAAGTAACACTCTCCAGTTTTGGCTGTCTTTCCGTGTGAAGATACATGTGGAAATCTGTCTGTGATAAGGTGGAGCCAAAGGAAACCCTCCCTGCTGCCATGTCAGGCTGAGCTCCTCACCCCTCAGAGCACTGCTGAGGGACAGCAGCACTGACCACAGCCCCTCAACTCCCATCCGTAGGGCTTCCCTAGCTCCATGGAGCTCCAGGTACCCCTGTCCTGCACCCAGGGATTCCTACTGGTGGAGGAGACCTGAGACTCCCATGGCCTGAACCCCTGGGCACTCAGACACCCTCATACAATGGGTCTGTGTGACATATAGGGACCCTGTCCCTGCCCCCCTGCCTGGGGCTCAGAGCCTGCTCTGCTCTGTCTCCCAGATGGTTAAAGCCACAAGGCTGATAGTGTTTCCCAGTGCTGGTGGATGGGTTTCCAGACTGGTGGATGGGCTGGTGACCAGCCATGGAATGCAGCTCTGGTCAGGTGCAGGCAAGATCATGTTTGACGAAGCACAGGGACCAGGACAACACCATGTATTTGTAGTTCCTGAAGCTGTCTTGAGCCCCCAGCCTTAATGCCTTCTTCAAACAGAGAAATCCATGTTTAGTCCAAGTGCTTGTTGGGTATTTGGAGAAAAAGGAAAACAGAGTTGTTGCCCATCATGCCCATTGCTGAACAAATACGAGCGTCGGTGCTCACAGGTCCGTGCTGTGTGATTCTGCTCCTCTGGCTGGGTGTGGATGGATTTACTGTGCATCTGGTCCCTGGCAGGTAAAGGAGTGCAGCTGCTGAGCTGCTCTGTTGGAGCTCCAGGAGGGTTTGATCCTGCAGATCTTTGACACTTGGGGTGGGTGTCTGTCCCACAGTGCCTGTGTCTGGGCAATCCCCTCTCTGGTCCCATCGTCCCTGGGTGACTTGGCCCCTTGGCCCCATGGAGCAACAGTGACTCCTGCTCAAAGGCATGGTGGTGCTCCCCTTTTTGTCAATTTTTCTCACTTATCTCCCCAGTTGTAGAGAAATCACCTATTTCAGGCCAGAAGGTGGAGGTTTGGGGAAATGACGAGTGTTTTACAAAGCAATTAAAGCCCAACCCCTGTAATTGCTGTAATTTATATACACCTACAAAATAACCAGCTGGTGTGATCCAGGCTTCGAGCCCATTTTATTTGTTTCAGCACATCGAACAGATGGAAACATTCCATCTGTGTTTTCCTAGAATATAGAGGGGTTGGCACTGAGGGTCTGTGGGTGTGGAGAAGGGCTGGGGAGCAGCAAGGGGCTGTGGGGGAGCAGTGAGGGGCTGGAGGAGCAGCAAGGGAGGGCTGTGGGAGCAGTGAGGAGCTGGAGGAGCAGCAAGGGGCTGTGCAACCATTGCTGACACCAGTAAAGCACCACTGACTGCCTCAGCATCACCACAGCGGACGTGTGATGAAGGTATCGGTGCTCAGGTGCAGGATTTGTGTGTGTTTATGGATGGGAGGAGTGATGCCATCCCCTAGAAAACTCGGGAAGCTGCAAATGGGGTTTGGGCTCATGTGCTTCAAAGCTGTACCCCCAGCCCCCCCCCTTCCATCACACCCTGGAACATTAAAGCAGGTTGGTGCGAGTTCAAAGCTGGGACCTCAGCGCAGCCAGAGTGGTGACGAGGGAAGTAATTAGCAAGTGAAATGTTCAGTGCTGTAGTGAAATGATGTTACGATATTGGGCTGTGAGGAGGGGAGGGTGGGAGCAGCTGGTTTTTCCATTATCCATACAGCCCTGCTCTGCGAATCCTTCCTGCATAACGAAGGCTCCTTGGGTTTTATTCCATTTCTCCAGCCTGTTCCTGTGTTCTGCCTCACCCGCCCTTGGCTGGCAATTTGCAGGGTTGCAAACGAGCTTGGAGTATTTTAGGAGCCAGTGGTTTTTCAGGAATGAGTGCTCTGCCTGTGCTCTGTGCCTGTGATTCAAGTTCTCCTGGCTCAGTAGCCCCCAATTACCCATGTGTGCGGAGGGGGGCCGTGTTTATGGGTCTGCTGGAGTTGGATCAAAGCCTTGGACTGCAGTTCCTACCCGAGGATGAATGAACCACCTCAGGGATCTTCTTCCAGCCCCGGAGTTTAAAATATTAATAGGGTATCATTTCCCAACAAGCACTGCAACAGGTAGCGAGCGCTCTGTTATAAAACATTCCTGTTAGCGGAGCACGTGGAACCGGCAATGCCGCGTCCCTGGAATTGACACCCACAAACTGTGCGTCCCCCACGTGGCCATGGATATCAGCGTCCCCTTAAATGGGCTCTTTCTCTGTGCTCCACTGGATCCCCTTCTGCTCCTGGAGTATTGCAGCCTGCGGGCACCAGAGCAGGCCCCGGGCATCCCTGTGCTGCTGGGGTTGTGATCTGCTGGCAGAGATCTGCTGGCCGTGATCCACTGCCCGTAATCTGCTGGCCCAGATCCACTGGATGAGATCCACTGGTGGGGATCTGCTGGCCAAGATCTGCTTACCGTGGTCCACTGGCTGAGATCCACTGGTTGTGATCCACTGGCCAGGATACACTGACTGAAATCTGCTGACCGTGATCTTCTGGTTGAGATCTGCTCCAGCAAGCAAAGGGCAGCGTGGCTGGGGACTGAGAGGACAGTGAGGGCAGCTCAGCTCTCCTGGCCTGTGCCCACAGTGCTCTGGCTGAGGTGGTTGGTAGATGAGATGTCTCTCTCCCGTGGCTCATCAGGCTCTTGTTCGTCTCCCTCACCCTGTGCAGGACAAAACTGATGATGAAATAAGCCAAAATTTTCTCTCCAGAGAGCAGACACCCCACACTGTCCCCACAAGCTGGTGACACCACAGAGCTGAGTTTGGTGGCTCCCCCATGGCCCAACCCACCAGAGAGGGCAGGAGCTGCCGAGGAACCCCAGAGCCTTTTCCCAAAGTTATCCCAGTGTTGCTCCCTCAGGCAGTGGTGGGTGATGGAGGGTCTTGGTTGCTGGCAGGGGACTGGGGACACTCCAGCTTTTCCTGGAGACGAATCTCACCAACCTGGTTAAACGCAACAGCGAACTGGAAAACCAGATGGCCAAGCTGATACAGATCTGCCAGCAAGTGGAGGTGGGTGAGGGCCAGTGGGGGGCTGGGGGAGGTGCCCGGGGCATCTCCCTGCTCTAGGGATGGGATGCATGGATCACCTCAGAGTCCTTTCCTAGGGACTAGCCTGGGAACAGAGATGAGTGTGGGGGGAAGCATTGCTGAGGTCTCAGGGGAGCTGAATTGCTTGGGGGAGTTTAGTCCCAAACAAATGAAGATGCAAGGATCATTCCCAGGGTCTGTAGGGTCTGAAGGAGCATGGCATGATGGGAGCCACTGGGAAGAGACATGGGCTGCTGGGCTGGCTCCACGCAGGAGGACCTGCCAGCTTCTCTGTACTGGGGGCAGCAGGTGTTTTTGGTGGAAGCCTGGGTGAAACTGAGCATGGAAACCAGGCTCAGCTGGGTGACACCGAGCCTGTAACAGGGCTCATGAACTGGGTGACACCAAACATGGAAGCAGGGCTCATCAATAGCCTGGGTGACACTAATCCTGCCAGCAGGGCATGCAGCTGTTCCTTGAACCACCACCTTCCCATAGGATAAAATCCTAGGCTGCCGCCGGGATTGCTGTTGTGGATTCAGGGGGAATTTGCCAGTGCCTGAGTGAACACAACAGCTGTTTGCTTCATCCTTGGGCACCCCGGCCTTCCCCACACCTCCCCTTAGCCACCCCCTGAGTCCTGCAGCCAGCGGGATGCTCTGGTGTGATGTGGGGATGCTGCAGCAGCATGTTGGAATGCTGTGGTGGGATGCAGGGATGCTGCAGTGGTGTGCAGGGATGCTGCAGTGGTGTGCAGGGATGCTGTGACAGTATGCAGGGATGCTGCAGTGGGATGCTATGACAGGATGCAAGGATGCTTTGGTGGGACGTGGGGATGCTGCGGCTGGATGCAAGGATGCGGATGGATGTGGGCATGCTGCAGCAGGATGAGGGATGCTGCATGTGCTGGCTGGAACTGCTTGCCCTCAGCGAAGCACCTGGAATGGATTTGTCCATGGAGCTGCAGCTTGTCCTTCACCACCTGCCTCTCGGAGCAGCTGGAGCTCTGGCGCTGGGAAGGTGCTTCCAAACCCCTGTGGTTCCTACAGGCAGCGTCAGCGCTTTGTTCTTTGCTCCCTCAATAATGTCCTGATGATCTGGCAAGAGGAAATGAGAGTAGAAGCCCTTTCTGTGAGTGCCAGCAAGGCTGAGTGTGCCGCCAGCAGCTGGCAGCCACTGTCACAGTGTGTGAGGAGGAGGAGGAGGAGGGGGCTGAGATGCTCTGAACTTCCAGCCAAAATAAGGAGAGAAAAGTCCCACTTGGCTCTGCAGCACTGCTGGCCTTCTGCACTGATGCTCTGTGTCACTCACATTGTCCTGTTTGTCTCTACCCATGCACCACTCTGCAGTAGGAATGGCTTTGTCGGAGCTGTCTCTCCTGGGCTCCCTCTTCCCCAGGGCTCAGAGGGCTTGGAGTGAGTCTGGGAAAACAGACAGCAAAAGGCTGGCTGGCAGGGAGAGAAGGAGCCAGGACGTCCTTGCAGAACTCTGGTGACAGTCACCAGCCCTCGCTGCTCTAATGGCCCACACTTTAGCTCTGAGAACCCACTAGGGATGGAGCAAGGATGTGGCTGGATGTCCTTCCAAACCTCCTCCTTTGAATCCAGCTCCAATATCTTAATGACCTGACCTATGATAAACTGAAATCCATTTGGTGTTTCTGTCTGATCCAGGGAGCCTCAGACCTCTAAGCTGTCATTTTCAGCAGAGTTTGGGAGTTTTCAGCTTTGTCAGACGCTCTGCTTAAAATAACAGTTCAAACAACATTTCTCAGCCATGCTGAATGCACAGCCGGGGCCTTGGAGGCACCTTCACAGAGAGCACAGTAAAGTGTGAAGCAGAAAATATCTCTGCCTCCCTGTTTTCCCTGTCAGTCTGATTCCAGGGAATTTTGCTTTCGAGCTATTTGCAGACGTGGCACACGCGATCCCGACATACTCTGCCCCTCGGCCACGTTCAGTGTAAGTTCCATGGTACGGCCAGGGAATGGTGCCACCAACACCCCGACGGACAGGGGTTCACAAGGGCACTGCAAGTGTCCCCAGGCCACTGAGCCCGTGCTGCCTGTTGAAGTGACTCTGGTGCCTGGGGCACTGCACTGAGAGAGGGTGAAAGGGCCAAGTCCCGTGACAGTGATGGAAACGTGGACCAAGGAGAGCAGGTAACAATCTCATGGAGAAGCTGAGTTGGTAAAATAGAGATGGTACCACCGTGATGCCCCCATTGTGGGGGGCAGCAGGAGATGCTGCACGTGCACCATGGGGTGGTGGCCTCTGTGCCACGGCAGCCACAGGGCTGACCTCAGTGTGAGCTCGTGGTGTCTCCGGAGCACAGTTGCTACACGGCCAAAAAACTCTCGAGGGTTTTGGAGGTGGGATGGGGTTCTCTGCTCCATCCCTGAGCTGCCAAGGCACGAAAGAGGAGGTTTGCCTGTGCCTGAGTCATACTGTGGGCTGAGATGCTATTCCTCATCCCCATGAGCTGCAGGATGAGCTCTTCCCAGGGCTGAGTTTATTCCAGGGCTGTGTTGTCCCTAGCACATTCCCCCTCAGGACTGAGAAGAATGAAGTATTTTTTCTCTCCTTTCTTACACCTAAAAGCCTCCCCCATGCCCAGTGCTCCTATACCCATAGCACTTGCCAAGTCTTCATCCCAAGTCCAGCATTTACCTGGGAACTGATTCATCCCTACAGAGTGGTTTGGCCAGTGTCCAGATGTGCTTGAGCCAGGGATTTGCCAGCAGAGCAGTGCTGGTCTGCATTACACCCACCATGCTCTGCTGGCCCTTTGGGAGGACTCCAACCTTAAAAATGCTCCTTTTGGGGCAGAAGGCAACTGGGAAAGGGACTGTGTGGCCTCTGCGACTTCACCTGCCTTCAGCCTCCCAGAGCATGAGCATGCCTGAGGGCAGATTTCTTGCCCTGGGCAGGTTTTCACATTTTTGCTATGGACGGGTACAGATTTATGTTGTCCTGTAGCCATCCTGGAAGGGGAGTGCTCCAGGCCTGAGCCCTGGGACCACTGTTGGTCAGCAGCTGGTTAGGGGGATGGACCTAGGGCCGACCTGAGGTGCTCCAAGCTCCCCTCCTATCCTTTGGCCCAACATCTCATTCCCTCCCTTTGCCATGCACAGGCCTTGCTTCATCTTCCCTTACCTTCATGTGAACCAGAACCTGAATGAGAGTGGGAGTCAAGAGTTTGTGCTCCTGGGAAGCTGGGGTGACAGCCATCTCCATGGGCACATGGCCTCGAGGGACCTGGGTGCTGCCAGCTCTCCACGGCCCGGCTGCACAGCAGCTCTGCCACAGCAGCTCGCTGCAGGCTCCAAACCCTGGAGCTGATTCCCCCCCCTCCTGCTACGTGCAGCAGATTGGGAAAATTTTACGCTGTTTTTCCTCCGTGGAGCTCTCTTTGCAGACCATCAGCTGTCTCCCACTCCAGTGTTGCATAATCTGCTGGCCAGGTTTAAAAAAAGATGCTGTAGCAAAAATGTGGTGCACTCAGGGCTGCCTTTGGACTGCTCTGTGTTTCACAGGGATTTGGGAGTAAGAAATAAGGAAAACTGATTTCCATCCTCTAACGTGCTTTAATTGATAGGGCTCAATTCCCCTTCCATAAAGTGCACTCCCCCGTCCTGTCTTGTCCTGTCCTGTCCACCACCCCAGGGATACTGGTCTTCCTGGAGACAGAGGACTGGAAGCTTTGCCTGCACCCCCACACTGTGGGTGCACCATGGTGAACACAACCATGAGGGTGTGTTGTGTGTCACCCCAGCACCTGTATGTTGTCTGTCCCCCCAACACCTGTATGTTGTGTGTGTCCCCATCACCTGTATGTTGTGTGTCCCCCCAACACCTGTATGTTGTGTGTGTCCTCCAACATCTGTAGGATTGTGTGTGCTCCCCCCAGCACCTGTATGTTGTGTGTCCCCCCAGCACCTGTATGTTGTGTGTGTCCCCCAGCTCCCCCCAGCACCTGTATGTTGTGTGTCCCTCCTGTATGTTGTGTGTGTCCCCCAGCACCTGTATGTTGTGTGTCCCTCCTAACACCCGTGTGTTGCTGTTCCTGGCCAGGTGAACACAGCCATGCACGAGGCCAAGCTGATGGAGGAGTGTGATGAGCTGATGGAGATCATCCGCCAGCGCAAGCAGGTCATCGCTGTCAAGATCAAGGAGACAAAGGTGAGGGGGGCTGGCTCATGTGTCCCTGGTCCAGCCACGGGCAGAGGGGCCGCAGCCATGAAGGATTTGCTTTGGGCAGCCATCAGTGCGCTCAGGTTCATCTTCTTGCTGTCCAAAATCTGGGCGTCCCTCACTGCTGCTGCCCCAGGGCTCCTCCGCCAAGGACAAGGCATGTGCTGGATGTGGCTGGAGGAGGAACGGTGTGTGGGTTAGCGTGACAAGTTGGTGCAGAGGCTTGGATCACTCTAGACAGCTTCCTCGGGGCTTTTAACTACCACGGTCCTAATAGAATAATGTGGAATTAATACTGAAGGACTGGAGCCCAGCGCTGCAAAGAAAGCAGAGGCTGCACAGTCTGCACTGCAGCACAGCTGAGGGGGGAGCTGCTTCTCACCCTTTTCTTTGTAGGGGTGTTTGGAGCCTTCATCCAGCGGTTCCAGGTGTTTTGCAGTGGTTTCTTTGTGTGATGTCCCACCCCAAAGGGAAAGGCAGCACTCAGGATTTATAGATGCTCATGGTCGAAAGGACTGGCAGAAGTCAGAGGGTCAGCAAAAGCTTACAGAGTTTTGTTAGTAAATTACAAGTAATTTACTTGGCATGGAAATTTATATAGATTAGTTCCTCATCTCCCAGTATAAGCACATAGCACTGGGTTTTGGATAAAGGGGTAGGGTGAACAGGAAGAGAGAGAGGGAGATGGATTAAAAATGGAGAGAGAGGAAGAAAGAGAGATCACCAGTCCTGGTTCCAGCAACAGGGTGTCCAGGGTCAGGGGGCACTGCCTGGGCTTCATGCGGGGGCCTTTTTATAGATAAGTTTTCCCCGCCCTGGGGAGAAGTTTCTCCCTTTCTGTGCAAGTCACTTCTCATGTGCAGTCCATTTTTCCAGACCTTTCTGGAAACGGGTCAGAGGCTTCAGGTGGGTCAGAGGCTTCAGGTGTCTTTGGTGGTCTTGATCTCCCCTACAGGCCATGCCCACTTCTCCACCTCACTCCTGCTCTGCTGTGTTGTGCTTATCTTTAGGAGCCGGAACAAGGATGTTTGTCCCAGAAAAGTGCTGCCCTACCTCTGTAGGGCCCCTTCTCCAGCCACAGCAACCCTTGGGCTCCACACATGCGACAGGGAGAGGCTGGAGGGCTGGGCTGTAGCTCTGGGTGGTGCCCTTGGGAGCTTCCGTGAGCCCTTTGTTGTTCTCACTGAGTTTGGGTGTGCATTGGGGTCCCACCGCAATGCCCACAGCCAAGCCCCAAATACAGATGTTTCCCAGGTGTAGATTGGGAGCAGGTTCCGCTGCAGGCGTACACAGGAGAGCCACCAGCACGACTCTGGGACACCCTGGCATCAGTGGGAGCTTTGAAATCCTGCTTCTACCCCAAGCACTCCAGGGAACATATTTTATGTAACGGTGCCGTCTGCCGGTCCATCTGTCTGTCTGCTTGCACTTCCCACTCTCTTCCCTGATGGCTCCAGGCTGTGCTGTCCAGTTCAAGCCATGCTTGGGAGGAGCTGGAAGCTCCAAACTGTTGTTTTCCTACAATTGACACCTGGGCAGAGGTGAGTGGCATGGATTAGTGCCCAAACTCTCCGCAGAGGCAGCGCTGAGGAGCTGCCAACCCAGCACTGCACCAGTGGGAGATGGGTGTGGGGACACTGGTTCTGGCCATACTGGGTTTGGCTTCCAAAGTTACCTGGGAACTGGAATAAGCATCTGTACCAGTGAAAAGAGGCCAGGGATGGAAAGGTGCAGGGGTGCAGCATTGCAGATACCTCTGTACCCTCCCTGTGCTGTCTGTGATGGGGCTGGGCAGGGTCCCCCCTTGCTTCCAACACCTGAGCAGCAATTTCCAGGTCAGAAGGGGACGCAGCTTTCCCAGGAGCCCCAGCCAAAAACATGGGAGAGTTTAAAAAGCCTGAAAGACAACTCCCCAGAGCCACTGGGGCATTCCTGTGCCATTTCAACGCTTCTCGCTCCCCGTGAGCAGGCCCTGGCTCAGGATGGGGCTCCCTCTGTGCTTTTCAAGCTGCTGAGCTCCCTCTGCTCCTCTGGCAGGTGATGAAGCTGCGGAAGCTGGCTCAGCAGGTTGCCAACTGCCGGCAGTGCCTTGAGCGCTCCACGGTCCTCATCAACCAGGCCGAGCACATCCTGAAGGAGAACGACCACGCACGGTTCCTGCAGACTGCCAGGAACGTGGCTGAGAGGTGGGCTGGGCTCAGGACTCTGACGCTGCAGTTGTCCCCTGGTTGTAGGTTCCTGCCCAGAGATGACTTTGTCCCCAGAGATTCTCAGTCCCCCCTGCAGCCTCCCACCATGCTGCCCTCAAATAAACCCCAAGGTCAGGTTCCCATCCCTCACAGGACAGGTGTTGCATGGCTGGTCCTAACAACACTGTGGAACAACACTGTGGAATACGGGGGTGGGAAAGTGGTGGGAATGCCAATCCACGGGACGCCCGGGGGCCAGTCAAAGCTGGGATCCCCAAGGATGAAGCCCCCCTACTCTCAGGGGGGCTAGGCTGCTCCCTTGGGCAGTGGTTTGTAGGTGCAAGCTGGTTTCCTGACAGCAGGAACATCACAGCGAGGCTGCCTGCACCCCTCTGCCCCCCCCGCCACGGCCAGGCTTTGGGAAACATGTGCACCCTGGCGCGTACTGATGGTCCCTTCTTTCCTTCCAGGGTCGCCATGGCAACTGCATCCTCGCAAGTTCTGATACCAGATATCAATTTTAATGATGCCTTTGAAAACTTTGCTTTAGATTTTTCCAGAGAGAAGAAGCTGCTGGAGGGGCTGGATTATCTAACGGGTGAGTGCACGGGCACATTCCCCTCCGCTGCACCCCGTGTCCTCCCCACAACCCCATGTCTTCCCCTCAGCCCCTGCCCCCGTGCCCCACATCTTCCCCTTAGTGCCTTCCCCTACGCCCCACCAGGGGCTGGCCAGACGCATTTTAAGACTTAACCTGTAAAAAACGCCGGGTCAGCTGTGGCAGAGCAGGGGCCGTGCTGTCCCCAAGACAGTGACGTGTCCCCATCCTCCCATTTCACTCTGCTGCTCCTGCAGGATCCATAGAAAAGTCCAGAAAGCTCAAAAATTGTGGTCTCTGTGACCTGGGGAGGAGTCTGATGCCCATAAGGATGTGAGAGGGATAAGGATTACATAAGGATCCATAAGGATTACAGGGAGGGAACAGTGAATTAACCAATTATTATGCCTCTAATGCACTCTGCGCTTTAACATTTCCTTTTTCCTGCCCTTTTTGAGGGTCTCTTGATCCTAAATTATGAACCCTGTTGGGCAGGACCTTTCTGGGCCCCACGGTGCTGCAGCACAGACTGAACACTGCCCTCAGGGGTCTGAGAGCACCAGCAGCTGCTGGACTGGCCTGTGCTGGAGCACTGAGGGGATGAAAGCTCCAGGGAGGCAAGGACATCCTCACTCACCCAAATCCGATTTTATTATCACAAAGCAGATCAGCTTTCACTGAAAGACTAACACAAACATGTGTCCGGATCAGTTATGGGATAAACTACTTATTCCACAGCCAGTCCTGGGGAATAGGTGGATTTGGAAGTGGGTTCTCAGCCTGTTTCAAAGTGGGGGTGTCAGACCTGATGGAGCGGCAGCAAAACCCCTGTGCTCTGACCCCTGGATGCTTCGTTAAACTAAAAAATTTAATTTAGTTCGAAACACAGTGACAGACAAAATGAGGGATTTCTGGGTGTCCAGAGACTCTGCTCCCACCGCGAGCCCACCTCTGTCCTTACGGGAGCAGAAAAGCCCTGGGTTTTCAAAGAAGGAGAGCCCAAACTGACTGAAGTCTGTGGTCTGTGCCCTCCCTCCCGCAGCACCGAACCCGCCGTCGATCCGCGAGGAGCTCTGCACGGCCTCGCACGACACCATCACCGTGCACTGGATCTCAGAGGACGAGTTCAGCGTCAGCTCCTACGAGCTCCAGTACACCATCTTCACCGGCCAGGCCAACTTCATCAGTAAGTCACCACGTGCTGCGGGGGCTGCGGTTCCCTTCGGGAAGGAATCCCAGGCTGCCCAGAGAAGCTGCGGCTGCCCCATCCCTGCAAGCGTTCAAGGCCAGGTTGGATGGGGATTGGAGCAACCTGGGCTAGTGGAAGGTGTCCCTGCCCATGGCAGGGGGTGGAACGAGATGAGCTTTAAGGTTTCTCCAAGCCCAAACCATTCTGTGATTCTGTAAGGAAAAGGTTCTCAGTGGTTTAAAGACTGGGAATTCATGTAGGAAACAGCAGGAAAGAATCCACCAAGTGCTGCAATCAGAGCTATGGAGACCTCCCTGTGCTGGGGGTCCATCCCTGAGCTGCTCTGCCCTGCATTTGGTGCCATGAGCCCTGGCTTGTTGAAGCACAGGGAGCATTGGAGGGTCTCATCCATCTCACAGCTCCCAGGTCCGTCCATCTGGGATCGTATGGGCAAGGCAGCACTGGCTGATAATTAACATGGTTTATAAACCCTCTGTAACAGCACTGAGTCACGTCTCCAGGTCGTTTTTCGTGCAAATCGCTGCCATACCTAATTGTTTTTCCACACCGCCACAAATTTGCCTGACAGGAATGGGATTTGAGGACCAAGGAGGGATCTCGCTGATGTTCCGTGGCTTGTGAGAAAGTGTTATTCCTGGTTTTCCCTAGCAGCACTTGCCGCTGGGGAAAGTGCTGACACGGTGCCTCAGAACGGGCGTTTTGGGCCGCCATCAGTCTGTCCCACTGGCTGGGAGGACGCTGGCCCTGGGAACACGGTGTCACGGCTCCGGAAGGCTGCGCAGTGCACTCTGGAATGCGCAGGAAGCTGCCGGAGAAAGTTCCTTGTGGCTTTCCAAGCTGGATGTCACCTCTCCAGCCCCAGCCCAGCCTTTGCCCTTGTTTTGGGAAACAAGATGATGTGTTTCCTCTCAGTCGGAGGCTGTATGGTATCGGTGCTGCCACAGCCAGATCTGCCCTGCTTGGCTCTCCTCTCATTCCCAGCTGCAGCATGTTGTCTCCAGCACTTTGTCCTTCTCTGGAAGCTTGGAGAGCTCGGCCACCTCTCTGGCTCTGCTTTTGGATGACCACCAGCCCCATGTCCCCTGCACTTCCAGCCGAGGGCAAGACAGGGACAGTGCTGATGTCATTGAACGGTTTCAGTGGGGAGGGACATCTGAAGTCCCTGAGTCAGCTCTGCAGAAGCTGGGCTGACAGGGCGCTCAGGGCTTGCTCCTTGAGAAGTAAGGACTGTCTAGAGATGGAACACCCAGTGCTTCCCCACCCCCAGCTAGGAGGATTTTGCCCTTTTCCAAGCAGGATTTCCCCTGCTGCAGCTTGTGCCCTTGCCCTGGGGCCGTGCTGGGGAAGGATCTGGCTCCCACCTCTCTGCAAATGCTACTTTGGACACCTGGCTTGGAGTCCCATCCATCGAGGGACTTGGGAATGAGTCACCTGCCCACGTCTGGGGGTCTGGCGCAGGCGTTGGGAAGGGGGAGCTGTGGCGACTGTGGGGATGAGGAGCAGCAAGGGCAGGGCTGGAGGAGAGCCCTGAGAGCACGTGTCAGGAGTGTCCTTCTTAGCCGACTTGGGTTGCTATTGCTGGGAAGAGTGAAGAAAACACGAGTTAAATCTCTGAGGAGAAAATGAATAACGTATTGTCCCTTGGAATAGCACAGCCGGGTCCGGGTGAGCCCTGGCTGAACTCATGCATGAAGAGACAGTGGAACGCTGAGCAGGAGTCCGGGAGGCTGACCAGGAGAGGAAATACCTTTCCAAGGAGCACACAGTTGGCCTGTGGAACCCATCCCCTTCACGCTCCCATCAAAGCCAAGAGCTCAGCAAGAGCCGGACGTTTTTATGGATGACAAATGCTGCAATAAAAAGGATTTTTTTATGCTTTGGCGAGGGTAGGAGCCCTCAGTCTTCAAGGCCAAGCTCTTTGTGGTTGTTTTGGGAAATAAGCCTGCTTGGGAGGCCGAATCCTTCCCTCTGTTGTCTCTCAGCCACTTTGTTCTTCCTCATGGAGGATCTCCAGCTGGTCCTTCCTGCAGGGAGGTGACAGCCACCAGTGTCAGGCTGGAAGCTGTGTACTATGACGAGAGCAGCTCTCTGTGTAGGCTGCAATCAGGATCACATCTGTTTTATTTTCTACTTCACATCACATTGCTCTGCGCCCCTCGGCCATTCCCATGTGTGTTCTAAACCAAATCCAGGCTGACAGGGGCTGCAACCTGCCCTTGTCCTGCGGCTGAGCCAGCCACTGGAGATAAATGAACACCCCACGGAAGTCATTGCAGAGGAGGTGTGGAGTGTTCCCAGCTCCTGCCCCCAGCCCTGCATGTGCTGAAAACCCTCCTCCAGTCACCCTGAATTCACAACCCACTCCTTACCTCTCACCAGTTCCAGTAAGCCTCCAGCTACTGCTTCCAAGCCTTCTCCTTATCCCTCTTTTGGCTCAAAGCCCTGGCCCTGTGCTGCAATAGCTGCCCCAGAGCTGTGTTCAGGAAGCTCAAGCACTGCTGCCATGGTGGGTCCTGGGCTCTCACTGCCCCAGCCCCCCAGTTCCTCCCAGACCCTGCCAGATCCCTGTCCCCCAGCACTGGCTGCTCAGGTGCTCATGCTGGCTGCAGGTGATCCTTATGCCAGCCATGCTGGTGGCAGGAACAGCCTCAGTGGCTCAGTGTAGGGCTTTTCCCCTTTCCTGGAGCACTGTGTCACCTAACGTACAACATTACATTTCCATACATGCCAGGCCCCGCAGCTCCAACGCTGCAAACCACTGCAGCAGTCAGGCTTGGCACTTCCAGAGTCTTGGATTTTTCATACCCTCCCATTTCCAGAAAGAGTTCAGGCTCCTGAATGATTTCCAGGCATCTGGATCCCTTCACTGAGAGCTCATTTTCTTTGAACTGCTCTGCAGACTAGTCTGCCCAGGGAGCTGAAGCATCAGCATCCTTTGGCCTTATTAGTTCCCACCCTGGAGCACTGAGCACCAGGCAGGAACAGGATTCAGGTGCAAACACATTGATTCGATTGCAAATACGTCCCTTTCTGCTTCTGGAATTGCTTATTGTGGACCAGGAGCAGGAGAGAGACTGTCCTGTGGGAGCAGAGACATGAGAGAGGATGATAGTGGGGTGAGGATACGATGATGGTGAGATCATGGTGAGCATCACCCCCTCCTTGGCACCAGCAGTGACCTCTGCCATCTGCCCTGGCTGAAAGGTGCCACTGGCTGAATTCTCCTTTCTCTGCACCTCTTCCCCATCACTTCCCATGGCAGCATCCCAAGATGCCAGCACGCCAGCCCTGGCTCTGCCTCACCAACATTGCCTTGATGTGATAATGAAAGAGATTCTGAGTTGCTGGGATTTATCATCTCTGGAAATTTCCCTGCAGGTGCTCTGAACTCCCAGGCAGGCGGCAAATCCTCCCAAGGGACGCGCGGTTGTGAGCTCTGCCCGAGCAGCGTGGGGACTTTGTATTCTGTCCTTCCCTGGCAATAAATCTCTCCCTGCCTCTCCTGCACTGCAGGTCTCTACAACTCCATGGACAGCTGGATGATCGTCCCGAACATCAAGCAGAACCACTACACGGTGCACGGGCTCCAGAGCGGCACCCGCTACATCTTCCTGGTGAAGGCCATCAACCAGGCGGGCAGCCGGAACAGCGAGCCCGCCCGCCTCAAGACCAACAGTAGGTGCCCAGGCACTCACCTGGCCATGGCAGGTGTGGGGGGGGAGAATTTCCTGGGTGTTGGGGCTCCAGGGGTGTGGCTGAGCGCTCCCGGTGAGCCCGCAGCGGCCGGCACAGGATGGAGACCGCGGGGTGTTTAAATTATCGAAGTGCCCCTCTCAGTGCCTCTGCTCCTTCCCTGCCTTGGGATGGTCTCCTGCTACCCCATGTGGTGCCCTGTGCTCCTGTCAGCACCCATCCCTGGTGTCTTAGGAGGTCATAAAGGCCCATCATTCTGGTGGCTTTCCATCCCTGGGCTTTTTGAGGCTAATGCACAGAGTCCCAGAGCAGCTGTGTTCTTGTGTGTGCCTTTGCTCGCAGAGAGTTGTGATTTTAGGGAACCATAAGGATGTTGAAAAGTGTTTCCATTGTGGTGGATGGGACTTTGCAGCCACACACAAAGCAGAAGTTGCACTTTCCAATGCCCCAGGGATGCCAAATGTGTTTAGGGAAAGCCAAACTCAGAGACCAGTGGTTCTGGCACAGATAGAGCTCCTGGGTTTGCGGTGGAAAACCTTTTCCCACTGATCCATAGCCTGGGGGGATGCCACGGGGGGAGGGACAATGTATGGTCTTGGAGGAGGGAATAAACTGGCTCTTTAGGCTCCTACTCACTGTCTGATCTGTGCCCACATCTCTTCGGTGCTCCCATGTCTCTGTGCAGCTCTGGTGAGCACAGCTCTCCCTTTTCCCATCTGTCCCTTTTCCCAACAATGGCTTCTACCTGGACGAGGCTTTTGTGATGATTTGTCACCTACACCTCCTCCTTTTCTTTGCATGACGTTAAACTGAATAAAATTACATTGAGGCAGTGGGGCTGAGGGAGCTGCTGGGGAGCAAACTCCAATCCAATCTGCCTGTTTATTAAAAATTTATCCCTCTTGTGGCTGCCGTTTTTCAGCGCTTGCCCAGCTTTGAAAAGCACTCCTTCTGGGAATGAGGAATAGGCAGCTTGGGAAGCCAGGAGCGAGGGCGGTTGGCCATGGCAGCAGCTCCCGGTGGACAGGGGTTGCTTTCTGGGATTTTAGCTGAGTGTCAGTCACCAGAGCTGCCAGCACAGCACTGAGGGCTTCTGCTCAGAGAGAGACTCAGTTTGATAAGAGCCTCATCTGGTTTTGAGCTCCCCTTGCTGCAGGGATGTGTCTGCAGCAGCTTCCTGCGTGTTCGAAACCTCGAGCAGCCTCACCTGAGGCACTGCACAGGTTATGTGTGAGTGTGTTTTTGTGTGTGACAAAGCCCCTTCCACAAGGACTGATCCTTCTCTTCCCACTCTGGACAGGAGAGGCGTGTGGCACTGATGGGCACACATCCCTCCTTGCCGCCGGTTTGCCATTCCTTTGCCATCTGTGTTTGTGGAAACTTCTGAATTCCTGAAGGTTTGATTTAGCCACATTTTTGGATATAATATAAATTGATATACTTTCTCCTGTGGCCAGCTTTGGAGGACAAGGGCTCCTTTGGGGTGTCTGATGGTGCCACCACCCCATGCTGCATCCCCAGCGTGCCCCTGCTGGCCGTTCACCCTGCCTGTATTTGGGACCAGGGTTTCTCCTTTTCCTGTGTACAACATCCAGACAACATCACACCCACGCTTTCCCACCACTGTAACCTTGGTGCAAATGTCAGCAGCTCAACACGGAGACGGCCCATTAGCATATTTCACAGCCTGTTCTGTTCCAAAAGTGATGTCTGGAGAGATCCCTCCATTGCCAGAAGGTCAGTGTCAGGACACATTGATTTCCGCAGCGTCGGCGCTGTCAGTGCTGGTGCTAAATCTGTGTTCCCGAGCAGAAGAGCTTGGGAGAACAGGTTTGGTTTAATGGCAGGGAGACCTTCCTCTGCTGAGGCTGGACCTGAGCAGGACATATTTAGGAGCAAGTGTCCAAAAGTGGATAAAAGAAGTGCCAGAATGCAGGGACAGGCCCGGCTCTGGCAATAAATAAAGTGCAGGGAAGGTGGGTTTTACAGTCTTTGCCTTGACCAGTGCAGCCTGATCTTATTCTCCCTTGCAATTTTTCTCTTCATGATTTCTGCATCTCTTGGCAAAACCTCAGTGTGGTACAGGATGGCTCCATCCACATCTCATCCAAGATGTCAGGTGTGGATCTGATGCCTGAGCAGCAGGCTCTGAAGTACCTGTTAGAGACTGGATTGTGTTAGTGCAGATGTTTTTAAGGAGCAGGATGTGTGTCCCTGTGTTCCTGCAGCTTGGTTTGCATCCTGGGCAGAACGTGGTGGGCACTTGCAGCCAGGACAGGAATGGTTCCTTGGGGAGTGAAGTGCATGTCCATCCCTCCCTTCTACCCACACATGTCTTGAGCCAAATGCAATCACTAGCTGTCCACCCTCCCCACTCTGCCCCATCCCTGTTCCCTCACAGCCGGAGGAGTGGGGTGCACAGGAACTTCTGTTCTGTGGGGCACGGGCTAGTGTGGCACTGGTGTCACCCCTGCACTGACCCCCCAATGGGGTGGGCTCCTGTTCCCTGGATTTGGCTGGGTGTGGGAGGTTGTCTCCTGCTCCTGGGGATCTCATTCCAGCTATTTCCATAGCTGTTATGTAAAGCAGCAGGCAGCCTGTCCTGGCTGTCCCTATAGACAGAGACAGGAGCATCCCAAGCCAGTGAGCCCCTGCTCACAGCTATGGCTGTGGGAGCCCTGCAGGGCCAGCACACACCTCCCTCTGCCTGGCTTCATCCCCACATACCACCGATGACCTTGACCGTGTTCCTGGTTGCCCCCTCTTTGCTCCCACATGCCTGGTGCCAGACAGGATTTCCTCTGCTCCACTTGGACACTGCCACACTCCAACTGCAGGGAAGAGAGGGATAATCCAGCTGATAAATGCCCCAGGGGTGCAGCCAGCTGTGTCCAGCCCTGAAGCCTGCTGTTTCCCCACAGCTCCCAAGCCCCCTGCAAGGATGACCAGCATAAGGCTATCAGGAATATCCCAGCAAGCTGAATTTATGGGATAAAGGTTGTCTGAGTGACCAGCCCAGGACATACACGGTAATGACAAGAGCAATCTTTGCAACCCCCAGCTCTCTGCCAGGCACAGTTGGGGGGCTGGAGGGTTGCAGTGACCTGGGGGCACATGGGACGGTGAGGGTGGCTTTGGACAGGGAGCAGGTAGTGAGGGCTGCTCTGCCCTCTCGTGTAGTGGGAGTTCCCCTCCCTTTGGCAGCTCCCATGCTGGGGATTTGAGGTTGGGATCATCACAACTCTGTGAAGCCTGTGGTTTCCCAGTGCCAGGGAGATATTTTGGGAAGGGGGTTGGTGGGAGTAGGCGCCTGGCCGTGTCCTCTGAAACACCCTCTGACCTGTCCCAGCCCATGTGCTGCTGCCTCCCACCCCGCCCATCGCAGACACTGCCTGCAGATGCAGCTCCAGAGCCCAGTCCAGGACGTGCCAGCACAAACCAGTGACAGGGGCTGGGCTCCAGTTCTTCACACTGACCTCAACGAGGGGTCGCCTTCGGAAACAGGGCTGTGAGTGTCTCTCTGCTGACAGAGCCAAGTATTTTTATACCTCACTTCCTCAGAGCTTGTCTCTTTGCGTTACTGCCAGGAAAAGATACGGCAGAAAGATCAGAGCAGCCAGAGGAAGGAGGGGGCAGGTCAATCCCAATTTGCAGCTTTAGTTTCAGGCCTCTCAACTCAATTATCCAGCAAATTGGGCTCCGAGGAAAACCAACACGAGCTACCATCAGGTATCAGAGCATGGCACGGAGGAGCTTCGTTCTGCAGTTGCACTTGGGAGCTCTCCAGCCTCGTGTTATTGATGTTGCAGCTGTTTGCAGGGGTTCCTGGGGTTCTGGGGGTCCCCAGCCTTGCCCAGCTGTTTGCAGGGCTTCCCAGACCTGGCTCAGGGCCCCTGTCATGAGTGGTGTGGGTGTTTCTCCTCGCTGGGACTCAGTGTCCATTGCCAAAAATGGGAGCATGCAGGAGGAAACAGCTCTTTGTTCCCAGAGCCAGGTCAGGGACCCCTCAGCTACCAAAATATGAGGGTGAAGATGTTTGCAGGATTTGAGGTGTTTTCTGCAGCTGCCATTTGCTTTGTCCTGAGGAAGGTGAATCCCTATGGAAATAGTCTCTGCTGCCTGTGTGCTCTTTACTGCATCTCAGGTGAAAACACACCAGAAAAACCCACCAGAACTCAATTTGCTTCTTCACAACATCTTGGGGTTTTGTTTGCAAATCCGGGGATAGTCTGAGGGCTTCCAGAGGGAAATCATTGAAAACCGAGGTGGTCGCATGAAGCTCTGGAACCAAGAGTGCTGGGACATCACCCAGATTTGGTCTGGCTTTGGGGAAAAAACCCCAGCAAACCACCATTGAATGTGTAAAGCTGAGAGCACGGGATGTTAAAAGCACCAGAATTGGGTTTCATGTGGAATTTAATGTAGTGCCTCCTGCTCCTGCACTTTGCAGCAGCCTGGGTCACCCTCCTGCTCCCTGCAGATGCCAGCAGCAAGGGGCTGTGGTGGCATCCTCTCCCCACTGTCCCCCTGGGCACGGTGGCTCCTACCACAGCCACACATTGTCACCAGTGTCACTAACACAGACTGCCACAGAAGGGCTAGTGTGGGGTTTCCAGCCCTGTCCTGATCTAAGAACAAAGAGAATGGGAGAATGCTGGAGTAGGGAGCAGTGAGGCTTCCCAGGTAACCCTCCCCTCACCACCCCATAATGGAGGGCTTTGGTTTGGGCTTCTCAAAACACAACCTTCTGGCTTCTTTCCACATCTGGTCATCAAATGACCCTAAGTTATGAAAGGAGAGGGAAAAAAAAAAGCATTGAAGCAAAAGGGATTGTGAAGTTTCCTTTACCCCCTGAAAAAAAACTCAGCCTGGCTGAGCAGAGCCACTCAGGCAGGGAAGGGGGAGTGTCAGGGGCTGGGCAGTGCAGGCAGGGCTGCCCATGGGCAGTGATGCACCAACCCCCCGACCCTCCATGCTGAGGATGTCTGTGTGCACGGGTGTTTTCCTGACCCCCACCCGTGCCCTGGCAAGGCTGCATGGCACCAACACCTGGAGCCTGTGGAGAAACCCTGATGGTGGAATGTGTGGGGGAGCTGGTGCCCAGAGCGATGGCGCTTATTGGCATGAGGGAGGGCAGGTGCTCACAGGGCTGTGTGGGGTTATCCATGCAAGCAGCACAGCCAGCACGTGTCCTTTGGCAAGCAGTTTGGCTTTGTGTGCTGCTAGTGTTACAGAGGAGATGCAGCTGGGTTTCAAGCCAGCATCAGGGATCTGCAGAATCCGTCAACCTCAGTTCTGTTAATTGTGGAGGAAGCCCGGGCCAGGCACTCATTGCCAGCCTGGTGCTCTCACCTCCCATCCAGCTCCACTGGACACGGGCTGGACCCAATGCCTTAGACATGCTTCCACACCCTGGACTGTGCTCTCTGAGCAATGAGATTGTGTTTGGCAGCAGAGGAGTACGGATGCACAGCAGACAAGACCCCGGCTATGTGCCCTCTAACACGTAACTGCAGCCTGAGCACTGTGAGGAGCAGTCTGTGCCAACAGCTGATGGGATTCAGGGGCAGGCTCAGTGCCACCGGGCTGCACTTAGCCCAGCACTTACTGGTCTGTCCCTTTCCTGTGCTTATGTCACTGTTATGACTGCTAATAGTGTATAGATCCATTCAGGAATTCAGGCTGCACACCCTGCCCAGGTTTGGCTCGCAGTGCATCCATCCTGATGGCATCTTCAGTGTCGTTCCCATTACCAGGGGACACCCTTGTTTCTGCCACATTTTGCATCGTTAGTGGAGGACAAAAGGAAACTTGAAGGGGAAATAAACACTGGAAGGGGGTAATGCCCAATAAGGAGACCTTGGACATCCCCAGCCCCTTATTTGGGGGTCCCTGTGACAGGACAATGCAGCCCTTCCCAACAATGCTGCCCATCCTGGCTGCTCTCCAGTCAGGATCCTCCCCCAGGAGCAGAAAGCTCACTCTCTGGAGCTCATATGTCTTTGCATTTTCAAGTTTCACCTCCTTTCCCTCTCTTTGGCCTGGGAAGGTGAGTGAATGTGCTGCTTTTGTCCCTACTGGATATCTGTAATCCAGAGTTCTCAGCTGGTGGGGGAACCCGTGGCTCATGGAGGAGAGCCAAAGAGCCCATGACAGACCTTTTCTGCCATGTTCTCCCCGCGCAGTGATGCTAACAACACAAATCCTAATCCATGTGTCCCCTCCCCACAGGTCAGCCATTCAAGCTGGACCCCAAGATGGCTCACAAGAAGCTGAAGATCTCCAACGATGGGCTGCAGATGGAGAAGGATGAGAGCTCCTTGAAGAAGAGCCACACGCCAGAGAGGTTCAGTGGGACGGGCTGCTATGGGGCAGCTGGCAACGTCTTCATCGACAGCGGCTGCCACTACTGGGAGGTCGTGGTGGGATCCTCCACCTGGTAGGCACCACCTCTGTGTGTGGGGGGTGCTTTCCCAGTCCAGCCTCTGCCAGATGTTTTTTGGGCATGTGAAGCTGTTGCTGTGCCAATTCCACAGATAGGTGGGCTCCGGAAGCACAGAGTGCTGCTTCCACAGGCAGGTGGGCTCTGAAGGCACGGGGTGCCTCTTCCACAGGCAGGTGGGCTCTGAGAGCACGGGGTGCCTCTTCCACAGGCAGGTGGGCTCTGAGAGCACAGGGTGCCTCTTCCACAGGCAGGTGGGCTCTGAAGGCATGGGGTGCCGCAGCCATCAGAGCTGGGCTCGGTCCTGCACTGGGGGCTGGAGGGTGCTGAGCGAAGCTTCTCCTCTCCTGCAGGTACGCCATCGGCGTGGCTTACAAGTCGGCCCCCAAAAATGAGTGGATCGGGAAGAACTCCTCTTCCTGGGTTTTCTCCCGCTGCAACAACAACTTTGTGGTGCGGCACAACAACAAGGAGATGCTGGTGGAGGTGCACCCGCAGATGAAGCGCCTCGGCGTCCTCCTGGACTATGACAACAATGCACTCTCCTTCTACGACCCGGCCAACTCCCTCCACCTCCACACCTTCGAAGTCTCCTTCATCCTGCCAGTGTGTCCCACCTTCACCATCTGGAACAAATCCCTGATGATCCTCTCGGGGCTGCCTGCCCCGGATTTCATTGATTACCCCGAGCAGCAGGAGTGTAACTGCCGGCCCCAGGAGTCCCCGTACGTGTCAGGAATGAAAGCCTGTCACTAGGCTGCCCAGGCCTGCCCGTGCCCCACGGCGGCACTGACCGTGCTGGTGGGTGCCAGTGGTCAGAGCTGCCGGCTGGGAGCCCCCTGGCAGCCGTGCCGGAGAGCCGCCGTGCCACCCCAGCAACCGAGCGCCGTCCACAACCAGCTCCGTCTTGTTTTAAGGGAAAAGTGGAAGAACCTCGAACCGCAGCTGGAAATAAACTGCTGGTGGTGAGCTCCAGCGTGCATGAGAGCAGCTGGAGCAGCACCTTGACGGTGGCTCCCATCCATCCCTCCCCAAGTGGATTGTCACCCGTCTTCCTTCAGGGGCTGGAAAGGTTGGGGTGGGTTTCAGGGTGACCTGAGGTGCCGTGGTGGTCAGGGGACAGCCCGTGTGTCCTGCGAGGCACCGACTGGGACAGGAGGGATGGGTTCTGGAGCCTGCTGGCAGCTGGTCTGTGGAGCTAGAGCCACTGAGCAGTGCTTTTCAGGGAGATCTTTCCGTGTGGCTGAGGCTCAGTAGCTTCCCTGGTGGGGTGAATAATGCGTGGAGCCCTTGGGCTTGGTGAGCACTGACGTGGTGGATGGATGGTGGTTATGTGGTGGGGGGTGATGGTTATGTGGCTAATGGTCTGTGAGAGCAGAGGCAGCACTGAGGACGGTCCCACTGCCTGTCCATGCTGCAGCTGGCCTGTTCCCAAAGCATTTTCTGGGTCTGCAGTCCCACAGTGGAGAGCCACGGATCCCCACCCCACCACTTCTCCTCCTTTGAGAGCTCCCCAGTAGCCAGGGAGGCCTGCATCCTTGAGGAGCTTTGGCCCCTGGCACGGAGGTTTGGCAGCTGCTCCTTCCCAACGCGGGGTCTGGACGGCGGTGCCCTTGCTCCATTAGTGTCCTGTCTGGTGTCCCAGCAGAAACAAACTCATCTTTCTGCTCTGAACCCACAGTATAGTCCTGTCTGAAGATCATCTCTATGCTTTATGACCCAAATCTCAATTTATGACCCCAGATCTTGGCTCCTGGTTTGTTCTCTGCCATGCCAGGGGATTGGACTGGGTGAATTTTAAAGGTCCCTTTCAGCCCAAACTATTCCATGATTCTGTGGCAGTGGGAGCACAAAGCCATCCTGTTTACTCTGTGGCAAAGGACTGGAGCCCCAAGGGCTCTAGACTCTGGTTACTGGGAGCTCTTCGGCTGCTGCCAGTGCACCCAGTAACCCCAAACATCAAGTCCCCTGGTCAGGCTCCATTTTCTAGATTTAGTTAAGAGGCCAGGAGGAGCTGGGCCAGCACACAGTCCCTGTGGCACAGCTGGGGTCTGTGGCACACTTTGGGTCTGGTGAGTGGGAGGGTGGCCAGAACATCGGAGAGGGACAAGGAGGTCAGGCATTGTGGTGCGGCCCAAGGTGGCTGGTGCTTGAGCTTTGCTCCATGGGATTTGAAACCCCTTTTCCTCCTCTGGATGTGGTGCCTCAGTGGGACTGGGGACCACTGAGCCGGGACCTCCCAGGTCTGCCAGCTGTTCCCTTCCTTTGGAGCTTGCTGATAGGTAAGTTTGCCCCTGCTTGCCAAACCTGATTTCCTTCTATGACAGGGTGACCCTCCCCTAGTTGATCTAGGAAAGCCAGTAGATGGAATCTAAAAGCAAACTGTCCAGCCCACAGCTGAATAACCGTGTTAAACAGTGGGTGAGCAACTGGCTCATGGGTCAGGCACAGAGGGCACAAAGACAGTGACTGAGGTGACATCAGGCTGGCATCAGTCACTAGTGGGGTTCTGCAGGGCTCCATCCTCAGCCCCGTTCTCTTCAACATATTAATTAACAACTTGGATGCAGGACTCAAAGGAATACTAAGTTTGCTGATGACACTAAATTGGGAGGAGCTGTTGACTGCCTCGAGGGCAGAGACCTCAACAAATCAGAGAGATGGGCAATCACCAACCATATGAAGTTTAACAAGGGCAAGTGCTGGATTCTGCACCTGGGGCAGGGCAGCCCTGGTTGTTTGTATAGACTGGGGAATGAGAGGCTGGAGAGCAGCATGGCATCTCTCCATGTCTCCAGGCTGCAATTTTTGGGAAAGGGAGGCAGGCGGCACCTCAGGGAAGGATCTGCTGCCTGCCCTGCTGATCCAAGAGGGGTTTCTCTCTGATCCAGGCTGCTTTCCAAGGGTGCCTGGCAGGGCCAGCGCAGGGGATACATCCCTCCCTCCTGAGCAGACGGAGCAGCTCTGTTTGCTTCTCCCAGCTCCGGGGCACAGGTGGAGTTGCAGCAGGGGTGCATCTGCTGTCCCCACAGCCTGGCACACAACCCTCGTTCATTCTGGGAGGTTGTCACCCTTTTCAGTTGGCTGTTTTTCATGGGAAACTCTCATGGAAGTCCCTTCCCCATGTTCTGGTCCCATCTGGGGCTGCTCATACTGTGTCACTCAGATGGATGCCAAGCACTGGAGATGGATGTTGGCACTGGCAATCTGAGTGTCGAGCTCCCTGCCAGCACCACTGGGACGGGCTCGTGGAGGACTCAGCACATCTTCAGCTCGGAGACCACGAGCCCTTAATGTGACGTTTGCACCTGATGAAATTGCACTAATTACAGGGACCCCCCACAGGCGTCTCAGACCCAGCCAGGTAGGAGGGTGGCGGGGGGAGCTGGAGGAGCCCTGCACCCCAAGCAGGCAGCTCCAGGGCTGGGAGCCTTTCCCAGTCACACACATGGTCCTCTCCCGGTGCTGGAAGCAGAGCCTATCCAAGTGTCACCAGGAGTTGGGGAGCAGCAGCCCCATCCCTGGGCCCTGCTCAGGATGTGATTCAGGGGCAGGACATGGGGGTGGTCTGGGATGCTGCTGCCAGCTCCTCTGCTCCTGGTGGCACAGTTGTACAGATTTGGGATGTGTGAGCTCCTGGCTCCCCTCAGCCTCCCCTTCCACATGTAACATTCCTGCTTCGGTTTTAACTGGGGGGAGGGTTGTTCTTTCTGTTGTTTTTTTTCCCCTTTTTGTTGGGTTGGTTGTTTTTTTGGGGGGCAACTTCTTTGTTAATGTGTATATATATATATATATAAAATATAATATAATATATATATGTTACTGGGTATGTCTGTGTGGGGGGAGGTCATGAGATGGGGACAGCCCTGGGATCTTCTCTTCGGCCATCACGGTGTTCTCCAAACTTGCCAAGACACACATGTGGCCATGCATCCACAGGAGCAGAGGGGATATGTGGTACCATCCAACAGCAGCTTTCCTTGTGCTGGGCTCAGCCCAGCCTGGAGAGCCTGAAGGGTGGCTGGGCACACAGGCTGCTAAAGCTCCATCCGAAAACATCCATACGCATAAGTATTGTTCACCCTACTGCCAGCCCTTGGAGGATGTCACATTGTCCAGTTTATCAGGACACCAAGTGCCTCAGCCTGCCTTTCCCCAGCCTTGGATGGCCTGGACATCTTCAAGTGTCAGGGATGCTGGACATCTTCGAGTGCCAGTCAGGTCTTTCTGGACCCCAGGTCCCACTCGCCCCCCCAGTGACTCAGAGCTGTGGGAGGGCAGGGATGGAGCCTGACCCTGCTGCCCTCAAGCCCAGGTCCCCCCCCAGTGACCTGGAGCTGTGGGAGGGCAGGAATAGAGCCTGACCTGTCCTGCCCAGCAGTGTGGGGCTGAGCTGGTGGAGGGGCCAAGCACCAGCCATGACATCCCCGCCCTCCGCAGAGCCCCTGCCATGCACAGAGACTGGCAGCCAGCAAGGAGGAACACAGGGATTACCCTCTCTCAGCCCCAGCCTTGGGCTCCCAAATCCCCCAGCCCCTTTCACTCACCCTGGCTCTCACAACAGGACCCTGTGGTGGCAGAAGGACAGGGATCCTCTGCGCATGGATGTGCCTGATGCTGCTCCTGTCATGCTGCTGGCAGGATTCCGGCCTCGGTGGCTCAGGCTGCAAGTGGGTGTTGCTGTGAATCACCAGGATGGATGTTAGCCCAGTGCTTGGAGAGCTGGCGGGGCTGGGAGTTGCTGGAAAAGGCACGCCTTGGGAAAGCAGGGTCCCGGGGTGCTGGGAATCACACCCTCCCATCCCTCATCCCTCCACCTCAGTGGAATGAGGGGAAGCTCTACACTGTCACTCCAGAGATTGCTTCATTGTCGGTGTTAAATGGGGAGATGAGTCGTGGGAGGGAGGGGTGTGTTTTCCTTTCCATGGCTGTGCTTCATTATCCCGACCCTGAAACCCATCTCCAGAAAAAAACGCAGCCCAAGACATCCATTGGGATGAGGAGCACCGGGCACTGGGACAGCACTCAGTGCCAGCTGAGGGTACAGGCATGACTGGGGGATACTGGGCAAGTGGAGAGCAGATGGCAAAGGCTCAGCCCGTACTGGGTTGGTGCTGTGGCAGTGTCACCTCCATGTCTTCTGGCCATGCCCAAACCCCCTGGGAGCCATCACCACCATTGGACTCTCCCACTTTCCCCTCCAGCCAGTGCCAGGCACAACCAGCTACTCCAGCCCTCACAAATGCTGGGAGTGGTCCAGGTCTCTGTCACAGTCCCTGGAAACCAGGGGAAGCTTTACCCTGTGAAAAGGATGTAATCCCTCGTCACCTATTTTCCTGAAGCAGCTGGTGTGGGCAAGAGCCCAGGAAGGAGCTTTTCCCTCCCTCTTACTGCTTTATCTGGTGCCTTTCACTATCAACCTCAGGTTTCTAGGAAACAGCATCGCTTGTTGTGAAAGCCAATTTTAAATCATCACTGATGTGGCAGGTTGCTTCATGGAAAGGGAAAGGCTGTACTGAGATGATGGAATGAGCTTTGCTGCTGCTTTCCAGGAATGTGCTTTAAACATGAGAGGCTTCAGTGTCACAAATGCCACAAATCAAATCAGAAATGGATTCTTCAAGTCAGCCAGGAGGGGGAAAAAACAGCATGTGGCGTGGCTTGGGAGGGCTAATGGCAGGTTTTGTGGGGCTGGGGGTTTGGTTTTGGCTTTTTATTTTTCATTTCCTCGGGAGTTCATGGAATAGGAAATAAAACTGTCGAAGTTTAAAAACCCACTGCCTGGAAGCCCTGGGGTTTTGCCCCTGCTCTGGGGAGCTGCAAGGTGAAGAGACAGGAGAAATTACTGGGTTTATATAGCCAGTGACATCAAAAAATGCCTCATCTGTCCCTGTCTGCAGCAGCAATGGCTTGCACTGGGATGGGATAATCCTTGCCAGGAACACACACTGCAGCCCCTCCATCCAGGAATGGAAATTCCTTTAACTGGTGATTCCACTCCAGGTTAAAAAAAACCCAATAGTTTAATAAAATGACAGAACAGAAAATTACTCTCTGAGCTGCTCACAGACCGCACAGGGCAAACGAGTTATAGAGTGAGCTGGCCCAAATTAATCCTTAATAGAACTTTAATTGAGATTTTAAATACTCATCTGAAGCACCAGCCCTTAAAACTGACTGTTCCTGATCATTAGACACATCAAAGCATCGTTAAATATCTTGTAGGAATATTCTTGGTCTGGCTGTGATGGACAACACCTGGAATGAGACCAGAAGCCTTCATTGAAGAATTTGTGGATTTAAGGCATGCAGGCAGTAAGGTAGTGAGGACATCAGTGCTTGTGTCTCAGACTAAAAATGGCTGCTGGGGGAACCTCATGAACCCATCCTGAGCTGCAGGAACTGTCCTGAGCTGCAGGAACCCAGCCTGAGCTTCAGGAGCCCATCCTGAGCTGCCAGAACCCATCCTGAGTGACAGGAATGGTTCCTGAGCAGGAACCATCCTGACACACCTGAAGCAGGCAGCCAGGAACTCTAGCCCTTCACTGGGACTTGTAAATCTCATCTAGCCCCTCTCCTGGGAACACCTATGCAGCCTCACCACAGCATCCTCCCTGCCCCAGAGCCGGTCAGGAGCAACACAGGGACTGTTAATGGAATTGGGTCCAGTTCTCCATGGCAACGAGCAAGAACTGGGTCAGTGCAGGATGCGAGCACTGAGCACTCCCAGGAGTTTTAAAGTAAACATCAGCCAGAAAGAAAGGGGGGGGGGGGGGGTTGAGGGGACCCTGGGGCCCCCAGAGCTGCATGAGGGCTCCCATCACCACTTGCCACAGGGGGGTCCCAGCCCTGTGCAGGGAGAGGGGGCACGAGAAGGTTGCTGTGGGTAATTCTGCGTGTGACAGCAGACCCAGGGCTGCACAGGGCAGGGGCCTGTGTGGGCCCCAAGGCACACACAGCCCTCCATGCCTCCAGTCAGCAAGTGTGCCTAGAAATGTGCCCTTCCCTCTATTTCCCACTGCTCTGAGCCAAGAGTCTTCTCTCCACACGGCTCTTGCTCTCCTGCCTCCCTAGCTCTAATTTACCCCTGTCTATTTACACAGGTGAGCAGGCTGAGATCCATCACCAGAATTCTCTGTGCAGAGGCCATCCACGTGAAAACCCTCATTGCAGCTCCTTGCTGGCAGGAGCTGTGCTTGGCACACTGCCTTTGATCAGCTGGATGCTTGGATCGAGCTTGGATCTGAGCAACGTGGCCACTGCCTTTGCTCTGTGCTCAGAAGCCTCGTGGTGGAGGCTCCATCATTATCCTGCTGCCAACACAGAGGTACCTCTGCCATGACAGCCCTTCAGTAATTACCTGAGTGACAGGAACAGTGCTGAGCTGTTGGGGCAGCAGCAATGGGTGAGGTGGTTCGAGGGGGCTGCAGAGTGCAGCAGGAGGAACTGGGTGGAACTGGAGGTCGGGACTGGATGATCCTTAAGGGGCCCTTCCATGCGAAACCATTCCACGATTCTGTGATTCTGTGAAGTTAAACAGCAGCTGCAGGTTTTGAGAACAATGAGGAAATGACCTGCAGATTTTCCCCAAGGCCAGTCAGAGCCATGAATTCAGCCGCCGTGGTTACT